CAAGAAAAAAGTAAAAAGTACTTGAAACAGACCACGACGAATAAGAACGCTGGATCCACAAACACCCGGGAAAAGCTCCAACGGCCACGATACCACCGAAACCGACGAAGCGAGCTCAGCAGTTAGGCCTAGCAGGCACTCCGCGACTCGGCGACCGTCTGCCCACGACCGGCTGGCGTACTGAATGGAATATGCCCGCGCGACCCTTGTGAACCCTTCCCGTATTATATTTTGATCGCTGACTTCAATTTTAGATTAAGAGGTCAATTTCATCCTCTTCTTTTCTCCTTGTTTCCCCAGGCAACGGTGACTCTCGCCGGAGCAAAGCGGTGAATCTCCGACAGACGCAGGAAAGGTAAAGCAGCCATCGCTTTGACTAGCAGACGTAAAGCAGACGACGCTAACTGCACCAACCGTCCGACGCCGTTGAAGAGTGAGGGGGCTCGCCGCACACGAAAGGAGGTAAAAAGTATTTGGAAGGAAACTTGCGGGCACTAACACGCTCACCTCTCGGTTTTTAGCAAACAAACCTCGGCGCTTCGGGACACCTCGCCGGTGAGTCTTTTGACTTCCCTCCTTGATGCGCGTCTGCTAGTTGTTAGACAAAAACAACGTACCGCTCGAGTTATTTCGTCTGCCCTCTCTGATAGGCGAAGTCGAGCTCGCTCGTAAAGACCTGCACTTCCCAAAGGCGCAGGAAAGGTAAGACAGACGCAGACGATGTTGCGAGCAGACGACGTTGCAAAGGAGCAGACGACGCTGAGATAGGGGTCGCGATCAGCCAATCAGGACCCGGCGTTCTGATGTCACCGCTACTTCCTTTCTCATGCGCAGAAGACGAAAATGAGCCCACTTGCGAGGCGTATACATGAATGTTCTTGCTCGACGACTGCAAACGTGATCAAGTCCCTTGTAGGGCCGCACTATTTGCACAAATATACACGTTGCCACAACTGTCCTTGAACGCTGTGACGCTTTTGAAGGCCGAGTGACAATGCTGCAACTCGACCTCGAGAAGGCATTTGACCGGGTGTCCCATAAGGTTCTTTTTAATATCTTGGAATACGCAAATGTCGGTTCGATTGTTTTGGAAGGACTAAAAATGGGGGGGGGGGGGGGGGGGGGGGAAAGGGGGGGGGGGGGCTTGCGCAGATTGTATACCACATGTTTAATCGTAAATAAGTCCGTTTCTGAAAATATCAACGTACGGTCTTCAGTAAGGCAAGGCGGTCCATTATCAGCCTTGGTTTTCGCATTGTATTTAGAGCCCTTTTGTTTGCGACTAATTCACAATTAAAAGAATTAATGGTTTTAAGTTGGTGGCCTGCGAGGTCGAGGTACTTGCTTATGCAGATGATGTCGCCGTTTTTTGCTCGGACCTGAATAGTGTTCGGGAGGTAGTCAGCGTGGCGACTTATTTTTGCAAGAAATCGGGCAGTGTTGTCAACTGGGACAAATCTGCTGGATTCTGGCATGGCAACTGGGCCACCACTGCAGAAGTGTTTTTAAATGTTCGGTGGACAGCCTTGCCACCTAGGTACCTTGGCGTGCCGCTGGAGCACTATTCAGACAGCACGGAGTATTGGAAGGAGGAGACTGACAGGGTTAGGATGAAAACGGAGGGATGGAGGGGCCAAGATTTGTCCACGTTTGCACGAGCCACGGTTTGCAACCTTTTTTTAATAGCAAAAGTGTGGTACGTTTTACAAGTGCTGCCCATGACACGAATCAACGTGCAGAGGCTCCACCGAGTATTTGCGGTATTCATTTGGCGCTCAGTATGCGAAAGATGTGCCCGAACCAATTTGTTTCGTTCTGTTCGCAGTGGTGGGTTAGGTGTGTCTAACTTGTTCATAAGGCAAATTGTGTCTCGGCTTATGTTTCTGAGACATCAGAATCTCTATTTTTACGTACAGTTACGCAGGTTCGTTTGCGTAATGTTTTACCGAATTTTGTCGTCTATTTAGGTTACGTTATTTGTGCAGGGCCGCGAGGCTATTTGCGGGAAGTTTTGCTTTCCTTCCGAATATTGAGTGTTCGTCTTTCTTTAGATTATCTAAGTACTGTCCGACGAAAAAAACTGCACAACGATTTGGTGGATGTTTTAATGCCGGTACCTCTGTACAGAACATTATACACCCTATTGAAAAATCCATCAGACCGGCCTGGTGTGTTCTGGTGCGCACATCAGACCAGCCTAACGTGTTCTGTTGTCCCCACTAGAACACGTTAGGCTGGTTTGGTGTGCCCATCACATCATCCTAGTGTGGTCTGATGTGCACATCAAAACACACCAGGCTGGTCTGATGTGCACAACACAGCACACCAGAATGGCTTGATGTGCACACTACGCCACACCAGACGGGTCTAATGTCCACACCAAGGCACACTAAACTGGCCCGACATGCACAACAGGGTGCCTCTGGTGAGCACACATTACGGATATATGTATGGTGTTGAATGAAAACATGTTTTCTTGTAAAATTATATAAGATGTACAGAGCTCAAACACCACATTTGATTTTATAAGGTGCTTAATTGAAGGGGCGATGCAACGATTCACTTCAAATAATATGTACTTTGCATAAGCATGTTGGCACAGTGTAACTAACGTTTACCTATATGTAATAGCCTGATGGAAAGAATACAGGTTTGCCTCGTCAACAATCGTCAGCAGCTTGTCATCAATGAAAACTTGAAAATATTTCAGTCGGCATTTGACATCATCAGAGGCCGTAAACATGGGTTCCGCAGGCTCCAGAAAACACCGGTCTTCTTTTCCCCAGTCAAAAACTTGCATCGGTGACTTTTGCTTCTTTCTTGACGTTGACAGAAGTGGACAGGCGGGCGTTCTGCCTTCAGTTTCGTTATCGCTTGGAAGTTCTGTTGTTAGGCCCTTCGTTGGCAAGTTCTCCTGGTCACTGTCACTCACTTCACTATCACTAGGTCCCGCATCAGACACTGTTCCACTTTCTGGAATCAAAACCACACAGGGACGATCGCGACACCGTGTCTGGTAGAAAGATCCCGATGGAATTTCCTTCAGGTAGCAGTAGAATACGAAGCCTAAAAGAAAAGAGCACCACGTCAAATTCTACCAGAAAACAGGGATGTACTAAACCACGCCAAACAGGAAGCTTTCTCCCTACAATTAGAGCCGATTCCTCGTGCACAGGTATGTAAAATCCAGAGTGAACGCCCGCCCCTAAAGGAAACTACTGAAACACTGCCAAATCTAAGCACGGAACGGAACACCACAGAAATCACAGAGCTACTATGCGACTCCTCTCTTAAGACAGTTCCACATGCAGCGACTGTGCGAAAAAAAAAAAAAAATCGGTGCGACAACCGACGCAGCGAGTGCGATCAGAATGTTTGGTTTCACATGCTCCAACAACCGCGCGATTTCTGTCGGAGCGGCTGGCGCTTCGGACACGGACGCGACGCGTTTCACTTTGTCTAAAATACAACAAAAACGTCATAATAAGCATACATGTTTTAGGAATGCAATATGTAACCAGAAATTTATAATAACGAAGCATTAAATCAGAAGCTTTTATGTGCCTACATTTATTTTCGCGGATGAAAGCTCGCTAATGAACGGCTGATTGACGAGAAAGCGATCGCACCGGCTCTGCGGCAAAATACCAACTTGGTGGAAACCAGTTGCAGAGCCGCTGCGACAATGCGACTGCGATTTTAATCGCACATATACTAGAAATCGCACCGATTTCGGGCGAGAATCAGAGCATGTGAAAGAGCCTTCGCATATCTACTGTCTACTTTTTTTCCCCCCGACCTTCATACGTTTCAGGGTAAAATACGTCAGCGCTATGGAATCCAGAACTTGTAAAAGTTCAAAATTAGCATATTTCAGAGCAAAGTACTGCTTACCTTTTTAACAGCAGGTCGAAGTGCGTAGCATGGCGTGACGATACGCATCTTGGGCGCCGCCATGCACATCGCAGCCGACGGAGCGACGGAGTATCCGGAAACCCCTCGCGGCGAAAAGTCGAGACCGCGAAACCGAAACCAGAAAATGTATTTCCTAAGATACGTTAAACATTTTGCATGAGTATTGCTTTGGGTCCCAAAAACACTATTTTTATATTGAATGTGTCCTAAAAATACACAAAACATTTTTTAAAGTACCTAAAAGGGTTAATAAAAATAAAAACGAAAGGAAAACTTTAGTGTTGCTAGAAGTGCTACGAATCGTCGGCGGCGTCTGTGCACACTGGGCAATTTGCCCCGCCAGCGAGCTGCTGAGCGCGAAGCAAAAAACGGTCGTGGGAGAAAAGGTAAGTATTAAGGATATTTCTTTGTTTCTTTTTGTGCTTGCTGCATTACCATGTGGGGATTTCGCATTATTAGGTCTGCTGAGACACTTGTAGCTTTATTTTCAGTGAACGATTCGAGCCTGAATGTATAGCTTTACAGAAGAAAAATTTCCGGGCGGCTATCAGTTCGAAAGTCTTTGTTACCCAGCATTGCTAGCCGGCAAGCATATTCTAGAGTTGTCATTTGGACACCAGTTTGAGTTGTCTTCACCACTTGTGGGGTCTCTCTGTAATAATCGCCGGGCGATCGGCATGTGCTTCGCTCGTCTCCCAGGGAGTGACACAATACAACGAGAAGATTGCGAATCGGTTTACTATACTTCCCAGTTGTCCGTCTTCGAGAGCCGGCACTGCGGCCCGCCGAGCCGGGTTGTCGCCCGTCATTCAGAGCTCGCAGTCGCTGTCCGTGTCCACGCCTGCGGATCGTCCTCCCCACGCCAGCGCTGCGTAGGCAAGCTGTTCCGGGCTATCGGAGCCGGAGTCTCGCTGCGGAACCACTCCGGGATCGTCATGGCCTAGGTCGGTGTGGCCAGGACTCGCCGTTTCCGCCGGTCCTGATCTGAACCTCGCTGGCGGAACGCTCCAGGAGTCGCCATGAGCCAGACCAGCCAGAACGGCTCCATCGTTCCTGCGCGGCCCCAGCCTGGTGCGGCACGCTCTTCCTGTTTCCTCGCGCTCGCCCCCGGCTAGAAAATGTAAGTAATTAGAAACATACTCTGCGTGCTAGAGAACAGTATGCACGTTACAATGGCTGTACCGTGATATGCAAGCCTGGTGTGAAAAGGCGACAGGCAACAAGGTGCACATTTGAGAAGGATATTTACGCTTCACTTGAGCTTTTTCTAAAGAAAAACTTGCGCATCCTGTTTTCTGCATGCCGTCACATTTGTTACCAGATTCAGCGTTAAATTTTGTTGCCGAAACAAACAAAGCTTTATGTGCTGGGAAAATTTACTATTTGAGAACTCGCAGGTTTGGAAGGTTTCGGTTACGACCACGCGTGTGCCGAACGGCTATGCGCACATACAACTACGACTGCCGGGACGGGCCTTTCGCTTCTTGAAGGCCTGATCGCCTGATTCTGGACGTCACAGCGAAGCAACAATCGGCCCAATTGTTCCTATTGTATTTCCCTATGTGGTGTCTATAGTCTGTTGCAACCTAAGAACGAAGGGCGAGGGTAAGACGGGCCGGGGAGGAGGAAGCAGGCGGAACGCTAAAGAGAGAAGGAGGTTTTCCCCTCTTCTCCAGCGTTCCGTCTGCTTCCTCCTCCCCGACCCGTCTTACCCTCGCCCTTCGTTCTTAGGTTGCAACGGACTATAGTGACTCGTAGAACAACTTGTATAAAATTGTTATTTTTCTGAGTAGTCTGCAAAACAAGTTCGTCAGACCACTTTCCAAGCCTGCACATCTATTTTCGTTCACTTCAACAGCAGCAATTACTGTAGAATTTACTTACCTGATGCATCACACTGCAGTGATCCACTTCTGTTGCCGTGTCACTTCCGAAGATCTCGAGGGGAAGCGGTATAGTTTGACGCTTGAGTCGCCTTCGTGACTGTGACAGTCTTTCACGCAGCAGTAGCGACATTTATTTTTTGGGGGAACCCTATCGAACCCCAGCGGGTTCCCGTGGCATCTCACCTACTCCTATAGGAGTAGGCAAGATGCTACAGAAACCCGCTGGGCTCATGGAGACGTGAAGCCGGGACTTACTTTTAAGAAGAACGGTTCCCAAAAAGGCTGACGCCGATCCAAAATGCCACATTCACACTTGGTTTCTAAATGCACCCACCTGCAGTCCTTGCGATCCGGGCTGTCCTGGCCTACCCAGTCTTTAATTTTGCAGCCGCTAGGTGGCGCAATACGTAGTGACAAATTGCATTGCCGGTTAATATTTGGGTCACTTGAAGTGAGGGGAGTGGAATGGGGGGGAGAGATTTGTATTATCGAGATTCTGCTGAGTCGTTGCCCAAGACGCCTCCGACTGTACGTTGCAAATCTTAATTTGTTTTTCATCTGTATAAAAGCAGATATTAATTTACTGACAGGATGACAGTGCTGGTGGGCCCAAATCTAATTATGTATTTGCAATCTGAACTGCTGATAATGTAGTTGCAGGTAGTGACAATCTCAATTTAGTGGAGCAAGTCAATTGATTGTTCAGGAGAGGCTCTGCCCAGTACTGTTATTCACATGCTTCAGGCCCTTCTACCTTTAAGAAAATAGTGTTTCACCCTCTTTGCACACAGGAGCAGAGGGATCAAAAGTCGCTTTTTTAAGGGCAGGACAACACTGTCAAACTACTATAGCCAGACTTTTAACTCAACAAAGGTTGATGACAGAACAGGAAGACATCATTTCATGACTTTTTTATGCAGCGTAGCATGATACAGTCATTGCTTACCTGACAGGCGAGTAGTTGTAATAACGAGAGTTGGTAAGGTTGCCAGTATCTTACATGAATAAATACTATCTTAAAGGCGCGATTTCAAAAGGTTGTGTTCACTTATTTAGTGCATAAAGCAGCCTGGCTGTGGCAACATCATAAGCAACAATACCACCTTAATGGTAGTGACCACAGCCCTTGTGTCACCTTACTAAAAGTACCGCAAGAAAGAGCTGACGTTACCTCTACAGGTTGGCATCGTCATAAATCAAGTTAAAGCGATTTGCTAATGGTCTGAAAATCCTAAAACAAGTGAAAGTGATTTACCTGTGGAGTGAAATTACGAAACATTTTGAGGGCATGCATTGCTGAAATCTCACCTTATTAGCAACTGTAGCATACATTTTGTTTGGGAATATGCATGCTTCCTGCTATTACTACAACAAAGAAATGGGGTTCAATGTTTTGACTAACATAGCTCCTGAGCATAGGGCTAGATTGACGTTGTGAAGGAATATTGTGCTTTATTTATACTGCATTGCACGTCATTTTGAATATGTTGTGCGGCTGTCTTTTTCTTTATTACAGCTACAGTATGTCCTAGCGGATAAACAAATCAAGATTTTGATGTTAACTCGTCGCTCTAACCTTTAATTTGCTATCCTAGGTGCTGCAGTGGCTGCTCCACTTGGTGAGGCTGTGGCCTCCTGTTGGCCACCTCTCTTTGCTGTCCAAGATGGTGAGGTACGTATCTGGGCCTACAAGACATTTTGTCTATTGTTTTCACTTCATTGACTTGTTCAGGACAACAGACTAATGGCAGAAAAAACAAGGACACAAACAGGCAGGCACACAAAAAGGCAAACACAGGTACTGACTTAAAGGTGCACTAAAGATGTTTCTCAGATTGTCTGTTCTTGGTGATAACTCATTCGACAGGCTCTAAGCATCCTAAATATCCAAAAAATTATGCTCGTTCCATTCCTATTTTCCTTCTAAAAATAAAAATAAAAGAACATACTTAAGTCTTGCCATAGGATGAGCAGGTGAACTATCTTTGAAAAAGTGTACATGCGGATGACAGTGACATCAGTGCTATCTGATAGTTGTGTCCCACAAATTACAGTTTAGCAGTGCCAATAATACCTATCCCGAGGTTAGCTGATACATCAACCGTGGCAATATTTGATTTACTTTATGTCCTTCCTTCATGTTAGTCAGATCAAAACCTAGGTTGCACTGTTCTAACTTTTTCTCATCTCACTGAGGTATATCATAAAGAGCAGGGGAGACAATGGCCAAACCTGTCAGATATCTTTTTATTGCTGCTGGTCTTGTAGTTTCGGCTTCCCATGTTATAATCACCCCTATTCTCCGTATAAACCCATTCTAGAAACTTAACCGTGGTTTCCTCTAGCCCATATCCCTTCAATTGGTTCCAGAGTTTTTCCTGATTCACATTGTCATATGCCCCTTTGATGTTTAAAAATGCTACCCATAATGGCCTTTGACTTGTCATTGCTATCTCTATGCACTGAGTGATTATGAATACATTTTCATCCAGTCGTCTACCTTTCCTGAAACCATTTAAGCTCCCCCAGAATCTGTTTTCTCTTTGCCCATTCTTCCATTCTTCTTTTTACAATTTGCATAGCTAATCTGTATATTTCTGAAGTTACTGTGATTGGTCGGTATGATTTGACACTGTATTTTTCTCCCTTGCCCTTATATAATAATCTCATCCTGCTCAATTTCCAGTCCACTGGGTACCTCCCTCCCATAAGTATCTGGTCAATCACCTGCCTTAGTTTCAATTTGCTTGTTTTGCCTAGAACTTTTATCAATCTCATTGGTATGCCGTCTGGACCTGTTTCAGTGCCAGCCAGAACCTTTCCTTCTACTTTTTTCCCATTCCTCTGTGGTCCTTTCCTCTTCCTCACCATGATCCTCCGCGTGTGTTGTGTAGACGCTACCATTCCCTACGACCTGATTTGATTCTAACTCCGAAAATACTGCTTCGATTGTAAGTCTAATGTATTCTCCTGCCTCATCCCCTTCCTGTGTTGTTAGTGCCTGCTGGTACGCCTCGGTCATTTTCCCCTGTGCACTGATGTGTTCCCAGAATCTTTTTGCCGCATTCCTATCCTTTTGGCTTATCTCTATCATCCACTGGACCCCTGCTCTCCCAATTTTGGCCTGTATTAATGCTAATGTCTCCTGCTTTCTTTCCTGAAATTCCTCCCATTTTGTCGCTACTTCGGCTAGTGTGGCCCCCTTTTTCTTTGCCCATCTGTGTTCTTTAGATGCCGCTTGGCGTCTCGATATTGCTGCCTTAACCTCTTTATCCCACCACCTTTTGGGCTTGCGTTTTAGTTTTCTTCACCCTTGTTTGATTCAATATTTCTCTAACTCTCTTTTGAAAACACTTAGTCTTCATATGTCCATTCTCTTCCCGGTTGCTTGGATACAATGTTCTCGATCTGCTTAGACGCCTCTTGTAACTGTTTAACATTTAAGTTATTCCTACCCTCTTGTTTTTGATTTTGCATTTCTGGTTTTATTGTGCCAAATCTGATTTTGATTCTCTTATGATCGCTCCCCAGACCTTAGACCTACATACCTCCTAATCTGTTGTATATTTTATGCGACATTAAACAGTAGTCAATAGTCGAGTGCGAGTTCTTTCTTTCCCATGCTATTTTTCCATCACATTTCACCTGAGCGTTAACCCATTAACATTAACCCATTAACCTTTGCAGAACGCCTCTAACATCCTCCCTGTTGTATCTGTATGTCCATCAAAGTCTTCCAAATATGCCTTCACGTCCCCCAAGATAAATATTTCCTTGCTAGTGCCAATTTCCCTAACGTCTCCTGATATACACCAACTCAACTCTCCTACGTCACGCCGCGGTGGTGGCGCGCCGGACGCACGTCCGGTCTGTGGCGGTGGGCAGAAGTCGCCGTGCCAGACATGCATTCCTGTGTTCCCTTGGAAGAAACGAGACAAAAAACCTGCTTTCTCGTCAAAATGCTGCGACGGGGGTTGTACCAAGAGAGTCTGGAAAGGTTTGAAGATCAGTTTTCATGTGTTTTTGCACCCTCCGTTCGTCCGAGAACGTGGGTAGTAGCCGTGAAAAGGGCAAACCAGACGCTGTCGAACTACGATTGCGTGCGCGGGCAACACTTTGTGATCGCCAGATGTATTTGCTTTGTTCCAACATAAACGAGAGAAAACCGCCAAGTTGTCCGAACCACCCACGGGTTCAGTGCGTCTTCAAATTCACACGGCCGCCTGATCGTTCGAACTTTCGTCAGCTCTTTCAAACGTCTGCTTTTTGTCGTCTGCTCGTTCAAACAAAAGCGGCCCGTAGACCAAACTTTGACCCGGTGATTGCAATAAGAAGTAATTGCAGGCCTCAAAAGACTTAAGTAGGCTCGGTGTAAAAAGTAGATACAAGATGTTGATCATTGGTACCGGTGGTCATCACCGACTTGTTACGCTTGGTCTGTTCCCGCTTCCGATTTTCAGTATCGACGTCGATCATCGCCGCTACCTTCTACACTTTTGCAACACGAGTGACGTCGCTACCGAAAATAGCTGGAAGAATCTCATCATGGTTTTGGCGTCCATTCTGCGGCGTTCATACGAATGATTCGCCGCACGTCAAATTATTTACGGAAAGTTTAGCGGCGTAACGAGCCTTGATAATTTCGCTTAAGCGATTAAAGTGGTAAGACATTGCGATGAGGACGTAGAATCGACAATTCCAACGTGAAAAAGAGTAGGCAGACTCACACAGACGCCGACAACGTGACATTCGAGTGGTTTGTTGACGCGGGACGCGGTGCTTCTTGCCCGTACCCCATTACGCATGTGTTCGAACTGTCGTCTGCTCTTTCAAACTTGGCTGCTTTTTGTCGTCAGCTCGTTCAAACGACAGCGGCCCGGAAACCAAACGTTGACCCGGTAATTGCGATAAGAACTAAGTGCAGGCCTCAAAACACTTTTGAAGGTTGGTTGGGGTAAGTAGGCTAAGTGTAAACAGATACAAGAAGATGTTTATCGTTATTGTTACCAGTGGCCATCACCGACTTGTAATGCCCGATTCTACTTGCGGTTTTCAGTATCGACGTCCACCATCTCAGCTACGGTCCACTCTTTTGCAGTCTGAGCAACGTCGCGTCTGAAAACAGCGAGCAGAATCTCATCGTGGGAGTCAGGCTTTAGCGCCCATTCTGCGGCGTCTACGTGAAATGAATCGGCGCACGTCACATTATTCACGCAAAGTTTTGCCTTGTTAGTTTCGCTGAAGCCGCTCAAATAGTCAGACATTGTTAGGAGGACGTAGCATCAACAATTCCAACGCGAAAAAGAGCACGGGGACTCCCACCGACGCCGACAACAACGCAATTCAATGGTTTGTTTATGGGCGACGGCCGGCTTCTTGCCCACCGTCCATCGCGCATGCGCGGCGCCGGTGGCGTCCGCTAGGGGTGCTCCGGTTTGTTTGTAAACATGAGTTGGTGTATACATGTCAAGTGTTCTGCATTTTTCTCCCCTGCATCACCGCCTGTTTTTAGATAAACAAAACCCAGGGTTGTGTCCAAACGCCCAATATTGCCTTACTCACATGCGTTCCCTGCAGCCCTCTCATTCCCTTTCCCATTCCTGAACCTTAACTAACACCCCTAATCCCCCTCCCTTGTGTTCCCCATTGGCCCGGTTGCATCCCATCCAATGATATCCTGGTATGTATGGTGGTTCTTCCATATCCTTCAGATATGTTTCTGCTAATCCATACACTGCAAAGTTGTCGCTTTCTAATCGCTCCTCAATCTCCTCCCACTTTATTCTGTTCCTGCCCTCCTGCGTGTTTATGAACGCTGTTTCTTTTTCCTAGTCCTGCAAGGCTTCCTCTCACCCTCCCAAACCCTCCCCCCTGTATCTACATTTTGGCCCTCATTTACACCGGCGCCCTCAGGGCTCCGGGGCTCCGCAAAAAATGTATGATGTGGCATCCAATCCTATCGCCTACCGTGCTCCCAGTGGTTCCACTGTAGTGGATGCCCATTGTAAAAGGGTCGGAGCGAGCTTCGTGCACCGCCCTGTTTACTTTCATTACTCCATACTCAAATCGTCGGCTCAACCCCCTTATCACCCGGTTAGCTTCCACCACCCGCTTCTCTATCTGCAAAGACTGTCCCCAGACCTCTGGGACGGTGCATATTTGCACATGCACAGTCTCAGAGACGTCCCTCAGCTTACGTAACCCCAACTCTGTCTGCCTGGCGAGGTTCTGGCTCCGTCCCTTTAACACATCATTTAGTCCTGCGTGTACAAACACTAGGTTCTCTCCTTCCCTGTTTCTCCACACCTCCACCTTCGCTTTGGCCATAGCATCCACCATGCACTTTCCTGACTAAGCCATATGGTTACCCTCCCATCCCCTTTCACCCTGTCCAGCAGCCCCTCCTTAACCCTTGTTATGTTTGAGTCTTTTACCACCAGCACCCTCTTAACCCCCGACTGCCTGTCTTCACCCCCTCCAGCTCTCTGTGCTTTTTGTGCCTCAAGTTCTGCTGCCTTTCTCAAGCCCTGCTGTACTGCAGTACTATACAGCTGTGCAGGCTCCTTTCCTACAGAGTCAATCACCTCGTCACTATTTAACTGGCCCCCTTTGTCTGCCCCCCCTCCCCCCTCGCCGTCTTCTCTGCCACCTCACCCTTTTTCTTATTAACTACTCCTGTCAGTTGCTGCACCATCTCCTCATACTTCTTCTTATGCTCTTCCAACTCCGCCTTCCACTCTTCCCCTAAGCTCCCCTACCTGTCGCTCAACCTCGGCTCTCTGTTCCTGTTATCGTCTCAGCTCTCCCGCCACGGTCCCTACCTTACTTTCCCATTCCCTGGTCATCTCCACCACATCCGCTTCGGCCCTCTTATTCATATCTCCGACCTGCGCCTCGAGCTGAACCCGCTTCTCCCGCTCTACCCGTATCTCCCACTTCGACTCCTGAACCGTATCCGCCCATTCCCTTCCTATTCTCCCAAAACCAAGTTCTACCTTCTCGCAACTCCAACAGGTAAAGTTGCTCTCTTCGGCTTCTGCTACAGTTTTGAGCTCCAACTCCATCATGCAGCACCAACGGCCACACTCTTCAGATTCTACATCGGGTCCCCCTTTTACATTAGCCTGCGCATTTTTCTTCCTTCGCATATTCACCATTGCCTACGGAAACACAGCGCGACCCCACGAAAAATATCGCACCAAAACCAAAAAAGCCTATGTAACGTCTCTGTCCACAAAACCAACTAGCCCGCCAAAAGTTTCAAACGTACAGGTGGTTTGGTCTTGTGACCCTACCTAAAAAGCCTGCTGTAACTGAACTATCCTATCGCTACTTTAAAAACTGCTTTCTGCTACCTCATAAAACCACCAGAGTTAGAGCAAAAATGCTTTACAGCAGGGTGGTAAACCTGGAGGATCAACCCCAATGGGGTGTGCCCGCGCAACACCACCAATGAAGCAGATCCAACAAGCAAGCCTATCCTATTGCTACTTTAAAAAGTGCTTTCTAGTACCCATAAACACACTCGCAACTAAACTAAATACACCAAATATTGCTTAGCTTCGCAGGAGCTCTGGAAAACACGTCCTCTTTGTCAGCTGATAAGCAGCTGACTGGTGAGACATATTGATGCCTATTTCGGAACACAGAAAGGGAAGGTAGTGAGCTTTGGTAATAGCACACTCATTCGTGTTTTCTTTTTCATGTCTTGTCATAAAGTGGAGCCAAAGGTTTTTTGTGTTTTTTTTTTCACATTGCTCGGCTGCCCGAGGTTGCAAATATTTGTACAAAACATGGGAGTGCACAGCAGTATACTTCCTTCATACTTGGCGATGTCGAATTTAAAAATTGTCAAATGGTTCATTAAAGTCAAGCTTTCATGAAACAATTTTTTTATATCATGATTAGTATTTGATGTGTACAGCAGTAATGGACCTCCTTTCTTAATGCATATTCCAAAGCTGAAATTACTTCTCTTAAAGGGGCGCTCGGGAGCTTTCTAAGACGGCCTATTTATGGCCGTAACACATTCTATGTGGTCTAAGCATCCCAAATATTTAAGTTTAAATCATGTGCAGCTTAGTTCACTAATAAAAATGTGATAAAAGATAGTGAATCTCAGACATACAAATGGCGGCACTGAGTCCGGCCGAATGTAGGTGAGGAACGAACGGGGCTCATCAGACAATCACAAGCGATAGCTTCACGTCCGGACAAGCAGCCAACCAGCCCTGCTCGTCTGCACAAGAGGCCCTCGCTTGCAATCGACTGACAAGTGTCTTTCGCCGTTCCACCCTATTCGCCTTGATTCGGTTCAACCGCATTCGCTATCTTTGATCACATTTTTTAATAGTGAAATAGGCCACACATGATTGTAAGTTTTGGACTTGTGGGATGTTAGAGCACATAGGTTGAGTTAGGAACATAAATAGGCCATCCTGGAATACTGGAGAGTGCCCCTTTAATTTATTTCATTTTTTTATATATATCTACAGTTCAGCATTTCAGTGAAACAAAGCAGGAACATGATTGCAGACGAAAGTGGAGAGTCCATTTGTGTTGCCTGTATTTCTCCACTTTTTGTGCATTTTCTTGACAGCGTTACTCACTGCAGATTCATCTTGGACCTGGCATCAAAATGCGAGAGGCAGCATTTACACACGCTGTGGAAAAGGCTGCCACTCCTGGCCGCTCTCTCAGAATGGTCAGCCAATCACTGTGGGAGCCTGCGGAGCTCTTGGACAAGGGTGTGTCAGGGCAAGCCTGCAGGCGTCTCCTCCAGGAGGGTGTGGTGGGAAAACAGCCCCTACCACACCAGGTGGGTATTTCTGATCAACCTGGAGGGGCACAGCACCTGTTGTGGCTGCTGTGCTTAGCTCTGAACAAAGAAAAAAAAATTTGGTTATGGGAATATTTATACAGCGTGTAGTTGGTCTGCCATTAAAGTTGCGACGAGTCATATGCTGTAGATGAGCAGCGTGTGACTCGTCGCAACTTTAATGGCACACATAATGTTTGTATAATGTGAGTAATGTTTGTATAATGTGAGTTTACTATGATTTGAGATTTTTATGAACCTATTGTTGATTTTGCCTTGTGCAGCACACATGTACAGTGAGAGGCACTAAGAGGTCAGACAAGGTGAATGTGGACAGAGAAGGAGAAAGCCACTTGGGGTGCAGCGCTTTCTTTGCTCACTGGGAGCGAGGCCACGATGTTCGATCTGCAGTCAAACCTGATATTATCGAACCCGGTTAATTTAAGGGCACATGGTGAGGTAAAATTGAAAAAAAAAAATCGATTTTAGTTTTTTTTGCAATTTGAAAAGTTTAGCTCTTTCTGCACATTTTCCATTGTCCCAGTGTTTTTGGAAAGCAGGCTGAAAATCACTTCTTCCGAAAGCAAGTAGCAGATGACTACGCCTCCTTTTGGGATACACTCCCTGTTTATCGATGAATTCTCCAACAAAACAAAATCAACACAAGACCTAAAAGCTTGTCCAGTAACAGATAATCTAAAAAAATTATTTTGAAACTATTGCATAGCTTTTTTTCAACCAAGACAATCACGAGACGCTGTGCACTTTTTTCCCAGGTGTGTAACGTGTGTACATTCAAGTGTTTGTGTTTTCATAACGACAAAATGGCGCCATTGAATGCTGTTCCTTTATTCAATGGTGGCAGCATTGCACAAGCCAATGTTTTGAAGTTTTGTGGATGGAACCCTGTTTGGAAAGCCATCAAGTGGCTGAGGGAAGTTGACATCACTCTAATATACTTTACGGACAAAGCGACATGGCAGGTCACAAAAGAGGCCCGGCAAGCAATGCGATAAGCCTAAAGGCGAAGATATGACTTTAGCAATGCCTTTCAAGCTGGCGGCTATTGAAAAAATGACTGTAAGGCTGTTGGTGCCAATAGAAATTCGTTATTCACCAGTTTTTTTACTTTAAACTCAATTATCTCAAAACAGTGTTTTTTAGTACATAGGTACCATTTTTTCCTTAACCTGACATTATAGAGGGTTGATTTTTTATTCCTACCACATACATGGATGTTCAAAAATACTGAACTAAAATTAAAAATGTGCACCTAGCAGTTTTTGAGTTATAAAGTTTTTAATAGATGAAAAAAACTAAAATTTCAGTACTAGAATAAAAAAAAATATTTAAACAAACTTATTTTAGATTGGTTCAAATAATTCTAGTTCAGTGGATAAAACACAATGTTTCGAACAAAATGATATATGCATGACAGAATTACTCCTAATAGTCACCGAGAAAACTGTTCCTCAACATGGCCTCAAATGCATGGGGAGTATAGGACTTACCTTGTGCCCTTAAACTATTTGTAAATGGACTGGTAGCTGCAATAGAAATGCATAGCGAAAAATGCAATTACATCGAACGAAAATTGCAGCGTCTCCCCATGGACCGATCTGCCAAGAGCGCTGTTTAGCTCTGCAAGCTGGCTTTCCCCCTTCATGGGAGTCGTCCTTGTGGGAGAGCCAGCTTGCAGAGAAAGCTGGCTTTTTTTCTTTTGAGCAGCCGTGTCGGCCGCCCAGGAGTAAAAAAAAGTCTTGTGGGGGGAGAGAGTGAGCCGGTAAACGAAGAAGCGGCCACTATATAATTGCAGTCGGCGTCCCTCATTATGTACAGATGCCCCTTCGAGCGTGGACAACTTTTCAAAATGTGGCGTGCTTGTTCGCTGTCAAATTCATTACAACTTCTATAGAGAATTGCCCGCTATATTAAAGTGGTAGACGGTTTTTTGAGAGTTTGATATAGTCAGGTTTGACTGTATTATGTTGCCCACAGGTAGGCGAAATCAGATAGAACGTGGGAGGCCGGGCCGAGTGATAAATTGACTGATTATCAGGCTCGACACGACATAACCTCTTGTTCACTGTTGTAGTTGTGATTTTATTATTTTAAGGGTGTTTTTATGAATAACTGCTCGTGTATTTCTTTTTATGCACTGCAGGTTTTATCACGCAATACCGTCTTGCCGAAGCCATCATCTTAGCCATCCAGATGTGCTGGCAAAAGTGGCATGGAAGAAAAGAGCCATGGACAGCCCAGTCTGCATGAGAATGTTTGCGAGTGGTGCATGTTGGGAAAAAAATAAAATAGTAAGTTCCATTCTCTTTGTAGTTTTGTTTCATGGCAGAATGAACACCTAAACCTGCAAAAAATTAGCAGTCTTTTTGCACAATTTGCTAGCTGTTGTCATCAGCAGTCCTTTCTGCATCTAAATTATATCGTGCATGCATGACCAGGTCACCCCAGAAGACACTAGGTCGGCCGGATCACATCAGAACACGCCAAGACACTAGAACACGTCAAGACACTAGAACACGTCAGGATACTAGAACACGTCAGCACACTAGAACACATCAGGGCACCAGAACACGCCAAGACCCGTGTCTGAATTTCCGCTCTGATGTAAACGTCAGAAACACACCAGACCCGGGCTGGTGGATTTTTCAATAGGGCAGTGAGGGCCCTGGTCTTGACGTTCTGAAGAGGGTGAAGAGAATGCCAGTTAAACCCTCCATTAAATTCTTTTTTTTTCAAGCTGCATTCAGGTACTTTGCCTGTAAAACCATGGTTGGCGGCAAAAAGGATATATGTACCATGGTCGGTAGATCGTTTACTGCGTAAAACACCAGAAACGATAGAACATGTTTTTATTGAGTGCTGGGATGCGGCTTTCCACTGGGACATACTCCAGCGCACTATGAAGAAAACCCTCCCTATAAACCCGCGCGGCATTTGATTCCTGTCAGTCGAAAATGAAGGTGGAGTGCCATATGACATGTTTATGGTTCTAAGCTTACATAGCATCTGGAAGACGAGAATGGGTGTCCGCCATGCGGAAGCGAATGTTCGTCCTGTCCGAGAAAATTTTATTGAAAGTGTCGCGTACATTCGCGAAGTGTACCGCCAACGGCCTGAGCTTCCCGAATGAATGTCGCTTTTGAATCAGTGTGTTTTCTTGAAGGAATTTTAATGTACTCACGTCAGCAAGCTGGGGCTGATGTGTTTTAGTCTCCTTTTTGTAACTATGCTGAAAAACGCCCAAGAGGCAATAAAGAAAAAAAAAAAAAAAAAGCCGGGATGGTCTAATCGGTTAATGCGTCGCCCCGGACAGGCGAAGGTCGCGGGTTCAATCCCCGCTCCTGGCCCAATTTTTTGCCAGCTCTCTTTCCGTTTCCCTAACTTTAATGCAATAGATTCAATAATCACCTCCTCCCCTCTTCGTTCACCACATATATATATATATATATATATATATATATATATATATATATATATACATATATACAGGGTGTCAGAAAAGAAAATTTACACCGTCTTTCTTGCCGCAAAAATAAACTAGGCATCGTCGAACGCTCATTCTCCGCCCAAAGGTAGAACTGGAGGTCACAACCAGATGCCAAAGTTTCAGCCCGAACTGATAACTTAATCAAAAGTTATAAGTGATTTTCTGAAAATTTCATTGGGAAAATGGCGGCCGACGGAGTTTTCAAACACATGGGGCTCTATGGCACCAGAAACCGAAAACGGGCAAAAATGGGCTCCATTTTCCCATTGAAATTTTCAGAAAATGACATAACTTTTGGTTAAGGTTGCGGATCGGGCTGAAACTTTGGTATCTGGTTGTGACCTCTAGCTCTACCTTTGGGCGGAGAATGAGCGTTCGGCGATGACTAGTTTATTTTTGCCGTAAAAAAGACAGTGTAAATTTTCTTTTGTGACACCCTGTATATATAATTCGTTTTCTCAACGCACGTAAAAATATTGGATGGGAGCATAATGGTATACAAAGGTTGAATATATATTATCACGTGCCGCGGATATAGCTGCAACTTGGCGAGCGTCTTATTTTGGGGAAATTAGCCGGGAACCAAGGATGAGTGGAAAGCTATCTTTTTAGGATCAATAAATATACGACGAACTTCATATGTTCACTTTCTAATATATTAATATCACACCCTTTAGCATCGTTAGTCCCATAAATATATATATATTTTCTTTCACATTAGAAGGTTTTACTAAAAGGTTTTCATCTGCACTATGAATAAACAACAATATTACATCATAACTGTCAGTCATCCGCACTCTGATTACAAAGTAGATCTTGATTTGTCCTTCCTGGCTAGTTTCGGACGTCTTTGATATTTATAATTAGTTCATATGAAAACTTTAACCTCTCCTACAATACAGCTCTTTAATATTTGTTTTAGGTAGTATCATGACCTGCTTGTCTACATCATTATAAATGTATTTTTTATACACACACGCGTAAACCCAAAGCGATAAAAAGTGTTTTCTTCATTTTTGATTTTTTTTTAAAGATATTGGCATGTTGATATAAGATATGTATATTAAACAAATATTTTCGGTCCTCAATAAGATATGCACGACTGTAACTCACGGCAATGTTATTATTTTGGAAACGGTAACACTTCTTTGCTTATGTACATAGTGTAAAGTACCGTTTAGTACATTTAATATAAGATTCATTCATATGAAAATAAGAAAGTAAAACTCTCCTATTGTAGTTCAAGAAAGGGGTCCGAAGGGAAGCAAATTAGAACATAAAGTGTTTGGAATGTAACCGTAGTTTTATTAACATCGGTTAATTCGT